TCGATTTATATGTTTTAAAAATTCATTTTGATTAAAAAAATTTTATTTTCAATATGAATAAAAATTTATTTGATTCCAATAATTGGTTACTTGACTATTATTAAAATGATTATTTACTTAAACCGATTAATTTTTATTTGAATTAAATAAACTTTATTTGAATAAATAATTTCTGTATTTGAAGCAAATACCATTTAATTGATTCAATAATTATTTGATACAAATAAATATTTATTTGATAATAGTCAAAAATAATCGATTATTTAAATTAAATAAATTTCTTTTTTCAGTATATATTTACTTTATTTTTAATAAATAATAAATTTAATGTTTATATTTAATATTTTTGAGGGTTTTTTTATATATATATATATATGTTATTAGAAAAAACTAACTGCAAAAACAATTTATATAAAAAAGGAGAGAAAAAAAAAACCTTTCTTTTCCTGTATTTTATTCAAGTCTTCTTTTTAAGATAACTTTCATCTCGACCGACGAACCGAAAAAGAGTTGTAAAAAACCGAGTTCGGACTTTTCTTCTCTCGGAAGGGGAGTTAATGTCAAACGTACAAGTCATGGCTGATATAATTCAGGCGATCTTGATCGGAGAAGACATTTCCGGGTTCCGAGTCGTGGATTCTTTGTCCATTTCCGAGGAAAAAGTTGGAAGAAGCTTTTCTCAGTTTGTATCTAGAATTTTATCCTCAATCCCAATTTCGATACGGAACACAGTCCCTGGGTCCCCATTAAGGGCATCCAATATCTTTTTTTAAAAAAAAGAAAAAAAGAAAAAGAAAAAAACAATCACAAACAAAATGGACGAAGATCAATATTCGACTCATTGAGAAAAAAAAGGAGCAAATCTTGATTCGTTTTGAGATGATTGAGATTTTTTTTTTTGGAGAAAGGAAAAAAGAGAGAAAAAAGAAAGAAAGAGTGAAGGAGAGAAATCTGACGCTGAAGATCCGCCAATAATGTAGGCAGATATATTCATTGCCCCAGGACAGTAATGGCGAATTGCTAAAATCTTCTGTTCCTTTCAAGCGGTTGCGATTATCTCTTAAGCTGAAAAGGCTCGAATGTTTCGTTGGATGGGAAAGAAGCGACGCTTTGGGGACTTTGCGTGGAGGGTGGAATTCTGCGGTGGAATTATTTCAAAAATGGATAGAAAGCGAACCACGTAAAGTTGTTCGGCAGGAAGGGGGGGGGGGGGATGAAGTAAAAGGGAGAGATGCGATGCTTTGAAACTTACCACCGCACGAGAATACCAAACTATGTGGAAGATTATCTCTAACCGTTTAACGGAACAATTCTGTAAAACGCAGCTTTTCAACCACATGCTTCTAGATATTGCTTCCAACGAGCTCCAATTGTTTTTAAAATGGCCAAGCTGTTATTGAAAAATGAGTTGTGAAGCAATATAACCGACTGTTTCGTTTTGAGTTTTTTTTTTTCTATTTCTTTTAATGAAACTGTTTCTTTTGACAAAACTAAAGGTAAAACGACTTTCTTGAGATTATTTTTAACTTGAAAAATCAAGAATATTACAAAAGTAGGGAAAAATTAATATAGATAAGAGTGGGCAATTTTTTTTTAGGAATATTTCACTGAAAAAAAATAAAGTCTCAAAATAAAAAGAATATTCCTTTCAAAATTAATTTTACATTTCATTTTCAAAATATGAAATCACTTTAAAAAGAGAGACTATTTTTTTTATTTGAGAATATTTTGATTAAAATATAACTTTTAATCATTCATCTTTGAATGGAATTTTTCTTTTGCATTTATATTTTTTGTTCTGAAAAATTGAAATCATTTCTCTCTAAATGAAACAAATTGGTAATAGGAGAAAGATAATTTTTTTTAAAAACTTTTTTTAATTAATAATAATTTGATTGCTGTATTTCTTTCTCTAAAAATGATTCCTGTCTTTATAATTAAATTGATAAATATGTAAAGAAAAGTTTTTACCATGACCTATTTTTTTTTTAATTTTGTAAATATAGAAAAAATTATTTTTTATTTATTTCATTATAAATTAAGGGGGATCTTGCAAAGACCCATAAAGTTAATTGTATGTTGATAAGTATACTTGACGGAAAATATCTCAAAAACTCTATATATCTTACATGAACTTTATTTTCATTAAGGATGAGATCTTTCAAGAGCCTCGTTAAATTTAATCCTGCTTAAACTTTAAGATTTAATGAGTTAAATTTTATAAAGTTATTTTATTTGTGAATTTTAAATTAAGTTAAAAAGTTGCTAAACGGATTCTTATACATTTAAATCCCCTGTGAATATCAACTGCGACTAGGATATACTTTCATGTTGATGAAAAAAAAGTGCATAGGTATTTGCAATTTTTATTTTCAGAAAAACTATACTTATTTTGAATCCAGAATTTCTCAAATTAGATCAAAAAAATAAGATTAAAAAATTTGATAAAAATTACAATATTGTTCACTAACTTTAAACAAAAAACACAAAATGTTAAATATGATAAATGCACTGATCGCGGCGCGGTTCGAGTCAAAACACCTTTGAAATAGAAAATTCGACATTTCTATTTTATAAACTCAATTTAAGACTTATTAAACTAAAATCTTATGTTACAGTAATACCCCGGACTTACGCGATAGGTGGGACCGAGCGACGACCGTGTAAATCGAATTCGCGTAAACCGGGGTTTAAGTTTTCATATCAAAAAAATACAATAATTTAGAATTTAGAAGAAATATGTTTAATAAAATATCAACATAAAAATCAATAATAAATTATTTATTAATTAATTACAAGTTAATTCGCGCGGCCATAAAAAAACTGCGTATCTCCGAATTCGCGTAAAACGAGGTAGCGTAAGTCGGGGTTTTACTGTATTTAGATATTAAAAAAAATTTTAACGTTATAAAAATCGATTATTTAAACAAATATGCGAAATTAAAACTAATACCGTAATTTTCTATTGCGGCGCGTTTGTATCAGTTTCGGTGTATCAATTTCGGTAACCAAAATTACGTGTATTTTGAAGATACTTTGCCCGCCGAAATTAGAGCCAATGAAAATATTAAAAATGTTTCAATTACGGTGAGAAAAAAATTTTGATCTCAAATAATTTAATTAATAATTGTTTAAATGTGCATCTTCATTAGTAATATTGTATCAAAAAAAAAATTAAAATAATTTTTTTAAATCATTTTGCAACAGTTATATTAAATATAATAGTAATAATAGTTATTTTTTATGAACGCGCCGTAATTGGTACACTTACCTTAATTATTATTTGACAAAAAATTTTAGACAAAAATATATTTTTTTAAAATTACAACTGGATGTTTCAAAATTTGTGAAAATGTTGCAACTCAAGAATTTTCATCTTTTTCGTCTGCTAAACACAAAACGCATGCGTAGATCTACGCGGTTTTTTTTTTTAATTTAATAAATTCACTTCTCCACCACTCTCACCTGAGTTGCATCAGTTTCCCCACAAGAGCGCTAGTATCGCTAACTAAGCACGACTCGAACAGAAAAGAAAAATTGTCATTAAAATTTTTCGAATGTACCCATAGAGAGTGGGATCTCCTTATTGGGATCTGAAATCATAGGGAATTATGGGGAAACTGACCTCGTTGGGTCAGCCATCTTGATTTTTTATCTCTTTCTTCTACATATATTTTAAAAAGGATGAAACGAAAAATGGCTGACACAACGAGGTCGTCACCAGATGGCGTATCGCAGTATTTCAGATCCCAATACTATACCTACTTTGTGTTGATAAAACCAATTTTTAATTTGAGGTTATGTCAATTAAACCGCCTGAACTGCAATGATATTTGTATTTATTTTTCGATTTAAGGATGTTGGAGAATTGACATACACTGTTAAAAATGTTTGTAGTTTTAATATACATAAAGTACTTAAATTTAAGAAACTGGTATATTAGAGTGTAATTCATATACAAAGTATATTAAATTTTGTCACTGAAAAAAATTCAAATAAAAAAATTGCATTTTACTCAATTTATACATGTTCTTGTGTACAAAATAAGGTTTTTATTAATAAAGCAAAGTAATTTCTTTCATGTAAATACAAGTTTAAATCAATTTACATTGTAAAAATGCATATAATTTGACATTTATAGTACTTAACCTAAATGTCACATATAAGTATTAAAATTCTTGTATTTAGAATGTTTTTTTTGAAAAATTTTCCCTTTATAAAACATTATTTGGACATAAACAACACAATAGTTAAAGAATTACGCACTGTTGTTTCAATTTCAAATAAATTTTCAATATCAAGGAAATAATGACCGTTTGGTGAAATAGGCATCTACAGCCGCCATGTTGTCACTTTAAATTTAATATACATGTATCTTAGATTTCAATACCTGTAGTGCATATTCGCTTCATACGCATGTATATTAAATCTAATACAGATTTTTCTAACAGTGTATATAATATACAAATTTTTGGCCAAATATTGCGGCTTTATTTAGCAATATTATAAAATGAACTAAAGAAAAAGTAAATGTTCATAATTTGGTAATGTCGTATTCTTTCCCTCTCAGTTTTGATAAAACCGTCAGTATTTTCTGCATAAAATGATTACTTATGTACTTATGAAACTGATTTCTTCGCTTTATCGAAAACCATTTTAATAAATAACTAAAATTTACTATAAACATCTTTTTAAACACTAAAAATCACATTTTTTAATCTCATTAAAAAAAATTTATTATAATTATTCAGTAAATTGTAGTAAATCCTTTCTTAGAGAAAAAAAGTACTATTATTTCCACTTGCAGATCCGCAGTGAAAGGTCTCTTTGAAATATTTTCAGTTCTAGGTGAAACAATGTAAATTCTCCAACGACCTTAATGAAACTCTAAAAGTGGAAAGCGAGTTGTAACATTTTTTTTTACCATAAACGCAAGCATAAATTTAAATTAAAAAACAAAAATGAAATACTATATTGAGTGATGTGATATTTGTTAATAGGTCGATTTGAGGCATCTTCTGCAAGCGGAAGATACGAATAACATCGATGTGGGAATCGACCTGACGGATTACTACATCTCCGTGGAATGGGACATCTTACGTGTACCAGCTGTACGCAATGAGAAATTCTATGTTTGCTGCGAAGAGCCGTATCCGGATGTCATTTTTTACATCACACTACGCCGTAAAACCCTTTTCTACACGGTGAATCTAATAATACCATGTGTGGGCATATCGTTCCTTTCGGTGTTGGTGTTTTATTTGCCAAGTGACAGTGGTGAGAAAGTTTCCCTCTCAATTTCTATCCTTCTATCATTAACCGTGTTCTTTCTTCTCCTTGTGGAAATCATACCATCCACATCGCTCACGGTTCCATTATTAGGTAAATATCTCCTTTTTACAATGGTATTGGTGACGTTATCAGTGGTAGTGACCATAGCAGTGCTCAATGTGAATTTTCGCTCTCCAGTGACACACAGAATGTCAAAGTGGGTGAAAGTTGTTTTCATACAGGTAATACCAAAATTTTTAATGATGGAGAGGCCAAAAAGGGATAATGGCCAAAATGATAGCGATGAGGATGTGGACGATGGTAAACCACCAGAGGTCATACTCACCGATGTGTTTCATGTACAAGAGTCTGACGAATATGACACTTACTGTAGAAAGAGGTTCATTGAAGAAGTGCCGGGATTGCCACCATCAGTTGCGATCAGTGGTGTTGGACCATGTTATGACGATCCCCTGCCGGCTTTGCCATTGCCTGGTGCCGAAGACGATTTATTCGGTCCATCCAGTCCTGGTTATGTTCACGAGGACGTCAGTCCTACATTTGAAAAGCCACTGCTTAGGGAGGTTGAAAAAACGGTCGACGATGCCAGGTTCATTGCTCAACACGCCAAAAATAAGGACAAATTCGAAAGCGTAAGTCTTTAATCATTCATTTTATTTTTTTTTTTCACATTTCAAATATGATTGATATTTGCAATGACTCATTTAAATTTTTTTTTCTTTACTGTACATTTTTTTAGAATAAATTTATATGCAGATAAATGGCTTTTATAAGTAAAATGGATCGAGTTTAGTTAGACATTTCAAATTACAATGAATTGATTTTCTTCATTCAGAGAACATGTTAATTTGACTTAACTAAATAGTTTCTAATTAACCTATTCTGCTTGACACAATTAATAAATTTAGTTAATTCAAATAAAATTTGGTTCATTCCAATGAATGCATAAAAATTTAGTTAACAGAAACAACATTTTTATTTAAAGGTGCGTTTGTTCCATTTAACCAAATAATTGTCCTACTCTTAGTCTTTCATTGGCTGCCAAGACATATAACGAATATTCAAATGCTTGGTTAATAATTGACTACTAAGATTGGACCATTGTTGATAACCAATGATTGGCATCCAATACTGGCCCAATCTTTGTAGCCAATTATTAACCAAGCTTTTGAGAATCCGTTTTTTGCCTTGGTAGCCAATGACGGAACAATATTGGCTACCAATGATTGGCAACGACGTGATCATCACAAGATTTTATCAATCGTTGTCCAATATTGGAACGACTGGCTCCCAATGTTGGGCCATTATTAAACCAATAGTTTATTTCCCATTGTGTAATCAAACTTTTAGTTGAACAGCATGTAATTGTTAGATCACGTAATAACCACAATGTTATAATTTTTCAACCACTTTTCACGTAAAATACTGAATGAATTGAGTTGATATTTTAAAGAGAAGTCTAAAACTAGGTGTTCATTTCATGACCATTTAGCTTAACAATCCGTTAAAACGTTTCTAAGATAATTTGTACACAATATTTTGTGACATACACACACATACATCTGGGAATTTGCTCAGGACTTCATATATATTATTTCTAGATGAAAATGAGTCCATATAACCTAATTTTAAAAAATCGAAAAATGTCACAAATGCAAAGTTTCTTCATGAGGAAGCAATATAATAAAGAAGGACTATGATGTGAGAAAATTGTTGTGTTTATTGTATTAACTTGGAAATTGTCAGAAAAAGTTAGGAGTGAGATGTCATTTAATGCCATCATTCAAAATGATGTTTTTTATAACAATTTACAAGCATTTTATAATAATTATTTGCGAAAATATTGCAATTTTCGAACATCACAGCCATTCCTTATCATATTTTTAACTTCTTTACAAAATATCAATTCAATATAATTTTAGTATTTTACGAGAAAAGTGGTCGAAAAATTAACGTTGCGTTGTGGCGATCACGTGATCTAACAATCACATGCTGTAAATCATCCAAAAGTTTATTTGACTCAATCAAATTCTTTCTTCAATCGAAAAATTTATTAAAATAAACCAAACGTTTATTTATATCAAATAAATATTTATTTGAATCAAACAAATTTTGTTTGAAATAACCAAAATATTGTGTTAATACCAAAAAAATGTTTACAGGGGTGGAATAAATTTTTATTTTTACTTCCATTTCGACTTTGGCAATTATTTTGATTTTAAATTTTACTTTGATTTTTAATTTTTTACTAAAAAATAAAATGTGAAAACGACTGTGGAAATAAAAATTAAAGTGATATTCAAAGTCAAAATGAAATTACAAAATTGCACCCCAGTTTGCACTAAATAAATTTAAAATCCCAAAGATAACACTGGTCGACAAAATTTAGGTTTTTTTTGCCACAAGAGTAAACGATGGTGATTCTTATAGGATTTTTGACGTAGATTACGAATCTGTAAATGAAATTGTCCCATCACGTCTCAATTTTGAGAAAAACGGGCTCAAAGTGTCAAAAAATCGCATTTTTGGCACTTTTTGAAGCACTATAAAAAAAGAACGCGACGTGATAAACGGCTCAAATATGGCTTAAATAAGAACTAGTACCCTCAACTTTAACCTCCAGAAGCAAAAAACCATGTACCAATAACTCAAAATTGTGGGCAACATTTTTTTACCGCGTGCGCGTCCAGCAGATATTGTTCCCACGATAAAATGAAATAAATTGCTGAAAACGTCGTCAAAGACACAAGATCGATTTAAATTAACTTCAAATTGGTTACTCGGGGGTTTTCGGGGTCGCTGATTACGAATCTGATGTTAGTTTTTAAAAATCCAATATGGCGGATCCAATATGGCGGACGATTTTTGGAATAACTTAACATATTAGTCTGAAAATCGTTACGCGGGGGTTTTCGGGGTTGTTGATTACGAATCTGATGCTTAAAGATTTTATGGTTTTTTATTAAATTGAGTATATAAAAAGTTTTGAGATTGCAAATTATGAATTTGACTTAAAAATTTTTAAATACAAGATAGCGAATCGAATTTGGCGAGCGAATTTTTAAATAGTTCTTGATTTTCGCAGACTTTAGTAATTTTAGTAATTATTTTCATGCCTCCACGTCATTTATAAGAGGAAACCGTTTTTTTTAATAAAAAATGGTTACTAGGTTTAAAATAAATTTAATTAATTTTTGTTATATTGTCAAACAGATTTAATTAATACGGCGTGAAAATGAAAACAACAGAAAACATCAAGCTTTATTTTTAACGTCTACTTTTTTCGTCCACAAAAAATTAGAAACAAACTGACAGCGAGCTCATCAATTGAACTCCTTGAAAATGTAAAAGAAATAAAATTAAAATCCTTAATGGTGCAAAATAAACGAAACGTCACATTTTTATCTCAATAAAGTTTTTTTTATATTGGATTAGTAAAAAGAAGGTTCATGTAACTGCGTAAAAAAGAAAAAATTAAATTATTCATTAAATAACTCCTTTCAAAAAAATTTGTAGTAATTTAATAGTCAAGCCATGTTAGTTCCGCCATATTGGATTCTGAAAAACTAACATCGGATTCCTATTCAGCGACCCCGAAAACCCCCAAGTAATGATTTTCAGACTAATATGTTAAGTTAATCCAAAAATCGTCCGCCATATTGGATCCGCCATATTGGATTTTTAAAAACTAACATCAGATTCGTAATCAGCGACCCCGAAAACCCCCAAGTAACGATTTTCAGACTAATATGTTAAGTTATTCCAAAAATCGTCCGCCATATTGGATCCGCCATATTGGATTTTTAAAAACTAACATCAGATTCGTAATCAGCGACCCCGAAAACCCCCGAGTAACCAGTTTGAAGTTAATTTAAATCGATCTTGTGTCTTTGACGACGTTTTCAGCAATTTATTTCATTTTATCGTGGGAACAATATCTGTTGGACGCGCACGCGGTAAAAAAATGTTGCCCACAATTTTGAGTTCTTGGTACATGGTTTTTTGCTTTTGGAGGTTAAAGTTGAGGGTACTAGCTCTTATTTAAGCCATATTTGAGCCGTTTATCACGTCGCGTTCTTTTTTTATAGTGCTTCAAAAAGTGCCAAAAATGCGATTTTTTGACACTTTCAGACAGTTTTTCTCAAAATTGAGACGTGATGGGACAATTTCATTTACAGATTCGTAATCTACGTCAAAAATCCTATAAGAATCACCATCGTTTAATCTTGTGGCAAAATTTTGTCGAACTGTGTAATTGAATCAGTTAAAATTCGTGTCCTTACTTGTTTAGACTTGGTCTTATTTATCGTTAGTGAGAATTTTGTAATTTTAAAAGAAAAATAGCTTTAAAAGTTTATTTCGTCATTCTGTGATTACATTCATTATATATAATATTAAGTGCTTTTGCACTAAAGGGCATTTTTAACTTTTTATTTGTAATCCCGTATATTGTAATTAAATAAATAAATAAATAAAAAGTGCTCAAATCTTTTTAATACGCGACCTAAAAATTGTAGTAAGTTTTATTTTTATGATTTATTTCATAATTTTTTATACAAATTCGTTAAACTAAAAATAAAGTTTTTTCTCACATGCAAGTAAGAAATCTCAAGTAATTTATATACATATAAGTAAAATAATATTTAAATATTTATAAAATTATAATACAGTCGAAATGATTTTAAAATTGTCCTTATACCTGCGCGTCACGAGTTTTATGTTAACATTTTGAAATACAAAGGATACCCTTAAGCGGAAGGTCATAACAATATGTATTGAAAATCACAAAAATAATCCAATCAGTTGTAATTCGTGTCTTGACCTATTTAGACCTTGTGAACTTTAATGTAAATGTAATTTTAAAATCAGTGTTAAATATTTATTTTTTAATTACCTTATTAAGTATATTTTCACATTATTTTTAGTGAATAATTTCGGGAGTGCTCGAACCTTTTAATTCGCGAACGAAAAAATTGTAGTGTTCAACTTTTTTTTTTTTTGTCATTTTAGTAATTTTTTGTTCCGGGAGTGTTCGAAATTATTAAAATCGCGATCGTTTAAATTTTTTAGAAAAAGTATTTTGTTGTTTTGTAATTTAAACATGATTTCGGGAGTGTTCGAAATTTTTTTAATCGCGTTTGTTTCCGGTACATCCTATTGTACAAAATATACGATAAATCAGTTGCAGGCTAAGGTTAGAGAAATATTTTTAAAAAAATAATAATTATATGTATTAACTAAATGCATTTTTAGTGGAAAAGGTTATGTTTTATCAGACAATTCAAAATATATTTGATTTCGTTTGAGTATACAACTTTTTTTCACTTATTTATTGATTTTACTTCCTCAAAGGGAAGCTTTGTTGTTGTTAAAATTCAATTTAGAAATGCGTTTCCTCTATTTAGAAATGTGTGCTGATCAAATATCCAGCTATTTGGTGAACACGATAACTTGAAAACGTTTTTAACAGATTTTAATTAAATTTGGTAGACTTATTTATGGCTTTTAAATATCAAATTAAACATAAACATTTTTAAAAATATCAAAAGACATTTTTTTTTATTTTTATAAATTCATTTTTTATTTAAAAAAACAAAACTTTCTTCAAATTATAAATGCAAATTGATCTATA